AATACAAGAGAATCACTGAAAATTAGGAAGAAAGTGATTGCCATCGAGAAGGAATTAATGCAAGCGTCACAGAATAATGTGATTGAATTCATATTGATTTATAATTAATTATTTCCGAGAACTGAGAGCATTTAATTTCACGCAAATAAGTAGTTTGAGCGAGCATACAATTTAAATTGAGTTTATAAATAAAAGAGAAAAGCAAAAATAAACGGTTATATACAGACAGATGGCAAAAACAAACACATTAGACGGATCACAGATACACACGCATACACACAAAGCCTACACATCATACAAGGTGAGTATATATATATATATATATATATATATATATATATATATATTATTTCCTTGTAATAATACATATGTAGAGAGTAGGAATATATATAGATATACTATCAAAAATATATATACAGATACTAGCAAAAATACACACACACAATACACAAGACTGGAAGAAGGTCTAAACAGATACATAAGGACATTAAAAGCTAAGCATTCTCTGACCAATCCTAATTGTTTTATTAACCCTTAAGCAATGGAACATCCTTCCGCTACTCCAAATTGAGATTGGATTACTACTACACACAAAAGACAATGTTTAAAAGAATCAAGTTAAGAAAAAAATTAATTTCTTGCAATAATTCGTGCAATTAAGCATTCTTTGCCTGATCAAGGTGAAAATGCCACTAGTACGCAGTTACAGTGAGTGAAACTGAGAGAAAAGACTGGGTATAGAGAGGACTGAGGAAAGGATAACAGATGAACGGGATTCAAGAAGATAGAAGATAGGGATTGACGTTGCATTTAAATTTTTGAAGAATCTAGTTATCAGGAAAGCAAGGAAACGTACTGTATTTCCAGAGGCGTGAAGTGCGAAAAAAGAAGCTGTTGGAGTAGAAGTAGTGGTTACATTTAACTAATTCAACAGTAACAGGGTGGGACCTAGCTGCCAATCGAGTAGCACGCTTAAATTCATACAGTCGGGTCACCAGGGAAAAAAGCACGTCAGAGCAGTTGCCATGAAAATATTTGTAAAACAGATAGAGAGAAGTTTGCATTTTCTGCTCCAGTCCTGTGATACTATTTTTTTCTGCCACTGAGCCCTTTTTGACGCACTGCTAAATAAAAGTTTCAGTGACGTTATATATACGATTTTTTTACTATATATATATATATATATATATACTATTTTTTTTATTTCGGTGATTTTGGTTGGTGAGTATATTATATATGTATTCATAACCAACTCTCCTTATTATGACATCTTGTGTTAGCTGAGGCAGGAATAAAATGGCCAGTTCCCAGGGCATCTAATGTCGATCGAATGCGTGACTGCCACGCGGAAAATTGACAGTCGTAGTCGGCCAGACTTGCACGGGGAACTTTTGATTTTTTTCTGTTGCTCTTCGGTGACGGCATTAAGCTCTAATCTTTCCCGGGTGTCGTTTCAAGTGTGCCCTTCAGGAGCCACTTGAGATTTTGTGCGTTTTAAACTGATACCCACTGACGATTGGACCGAGTGATTCCTGGGGGGTCCGTCTACTACATTCTGGGATCGGTATGCTGGAAGTAACACCAATAAGCTAAGTGACACACCTTTTATTTTAATTTTTCTCTCTCTCTCTTGCAATCTATCCCTCTCTCTCTCTTTCTCTCTCTCTCTCTCTCTCTCTATATATATATATATATATATATATATATATATATATATATATATAGATAGATAGATGCACAAATATGAATACATAGCAATATCCATTTCCTTTTGTATACATATGCGTTCGAGAGCAAAGAAAAGACTTAAATAATGAGATAAAGGATGAAAATCTCGCATACAAAATTTAGAAAAGTATTATTTGATTTTTCCAAAATTGTAATGCTATCGACGATGTTATGGATTTGCTGGGGATTTTGGGATCGACACTGGGGTAGCTCATCCAGATGAATTTTGCAATTTCTTTTCTAAGCTAAGGCATTCTTATTTTTTGTACAAATAGCTGCATTTATTGATAACCAATCAAACAAAACAATCTCTCGATCTCCATATCAGAACACAAAATGATATACACATTTTTCAATGATGCACTGGAATGTGTATGAATATTTAGTGACTTACAATCTGTCTGTCTATCTATCTATATAAGAGTTTTCATTATCGGAGTCTTTTTATTATCTATCTATCTATCTATCTATCTATCTATCTATCTATCTATCTATCTCAGTCTTTTCATTATCTATCTATCTATCTATCTCAATTTTTCTTTATCTATCTATCTATCTATCTATCTATCTATCTCAGTCTTTTCATCATCTATCTATCTATCTATCTCAATTTTTCTTTATCTATCTATCTATCTATCTATCTATCTATCTATCTATCTATCTCAGTCTTTTCATTATCTATCTATCTATATATATATCTATCTATCTCAACTTTTCTTTATCTATCTATCTATCTATCTCAATTTTTCTTTATCTATCTATCTATCTATCTATCTATCTATCTATCTATCTATCTATCTATCTATCTATCTATGTCAGTCTTTTCATTATCTATCTATCTATCTATCTATCTCAATTTTTCTTTATCTATCTATCTATCTATCTATCTATCTATCTATCTATCTATGTCAGTCTTTTCATTATCTATCTATCTATCTCAATTTTTCTTTATCTATCTATCTATCTATCTATCTATCTATCTATCTATCTATCTATCTATCTCAGTCTTTTCATTATCTATCTATCTATCTCAATTTTTCTTTATCTATCTATCTATCTATCTATCTATCTATCTATCTATCTATCTATCTATCTATCTATCTATCTCAGTCTTTTCATTATCTGCCTATCTATCTATTATATACATAAACGAGCGCACTAATATTTCATATTAAATTTGGTCAACATCTATTTCAAAATAGTCGGCCACATAGTCGTGTAGAGAGGTACAAGTTTTTGTGCGTGTGACATGGGCGTTGCCGGAATCTTTTCATGAAAGCATTGAACGTTTGGGATACCGCTCAGGATCTTCTGACAAACTCCATTGTTTCAAGCTAGGTGGTGACACACCAGTGCTGGGTGAGTGAAACCCTAAGGAGGCTTCAGTACACTTATACAAAAAATGATTATTTAAAAATGAATATCTGTTGTGACCGTCTGTATTTTCTATAAGCTTCTTGTAGTGTTGAAGACATTGACTTAATTCCCCTCCGGCCTTATGCAGTCTTGTGTGGCACTTATCTTTCTCTTGCCTTTCTACTCATTATAATTCACATATTAATTATAATAATTAAAATAACCGACCTTTCTGCAAATTCTTTCATCGTGATGTTCCGTATCATTCTCAGAGACATTTTTTTCTTTTCATGCATTTGAGGGAAAACAGGCTTTTTTAAAATCATTTCAAAGTAAGATATATTCACAAATTAAGATATATTCACTACTTGAAATCTTTGAAATAAAAACTTTCAATGAACATTCCATTCATAAATTGGCTTATTATAGTTAAGGAAAGTTTTACAAATAGATGCCAACTTGTTGAAGGCCAAGTACAATGCAAATTTCAAACACTTTTCTGCACTATATAAGACGATATTCATAAACAGAATTATTTTTGATATGAAAATCAAAATAATCCTCGAATAAAAGAAATGTAATAAAAGACAATCAAAGAAATAAACGTCTTTACAATCAATATGCAAATTAGTTAAACCTGAAGAGTGATATTGCCTGAAAGTAAATAATATATAATACAGATATTGAACTTTTAGTTTGTAAATTACTATAAAGTTTTACTTAATTAGTTATTATGTTTCTCTAACTCTTATAATGTTGAATGTATAACTAATTCTAATTTCTGTTTTCCCATCTTTACACTATATTAATTTTATCATAAGATAAAATTTAAAATTTTCCCCTGTTCTGTCACCTATGTAAAAAAAATAATTGTTTGTACGGAAAAATAAGTATCTACGTACATCAAATCGTCTTTAAATTAAACGGCAGCAGAAGTATTATCGTTAAAGTTTTAAAAGTAAAGCTTAAACATTCAATTTATACTTAAATGCAGCGATCAATTTTGAGTTGTTTTGTCGTTTATTGATGTCTATCGCATCTACTACCCCCGGGCTATTCTGATGATGGTCAAACCAAGTTTCCTCCACAGGAGCTACCTTAAATGCGGCCCGATAGCGCAGGTTTTGATTTTAAGCTTGCTGCAATTTTGGATACAAAAGGAAAAGGAAAAGGATCGTTACTCCCTTTGAACCATGAAAACAACGATAATAGCTCGTATAAATGTGTTAATATATATTTTAACCTTGCATAATCTGGCAACCTTGAATCTCAGCTCAACAAAAATCGTTTCCTGTGTCTGAATTTTCTAGGGCTTTACAATGAGCTATGAATCATTGAAGTCGGACCATTGGGAGTAGAGGAGTTGCTTCGACACAGGGACACAAACACAAACATGTACACTGTATTTTATATATAAGATGTTGCAATAATATTCAGCCTGCATGATTCTGTCGATGAGTTAAATTCACCATCCATTAGAGTGAACACAAAATAGACTACGAAATTGCCATTTCTATATTAATTTATGCTTAACTATTGTACTGAACTGTTATGCAATTTCAATCCTCCTATATGACAGTAAATGCTGGGCAATCTCTTCACAAATGAAGATACCTGATCTGCAGTTCCATAGAAGGATGCCGAGAATAGCATAGACCGAACATGTGAGCAAGGACGAAGTTTTATAGAAACTGGAGATAAAGAGGGCACTTATGCGTAGCACCGGGAAGAGACAGTTGAAATTTCTAGGCATATAATTAAGAAAGAGGGCTTGGAAAATCTGATACTCACAGGAAAGATTGAAAGCAAGAGGGTCAGAGGAACACAACGCATAACTCATGCTTAGCGAGTTTCAGTAAATGGACGAGATGCAAGGGGTTTAGGATCGATAATAAAAAGTATAAATTTATTAAGATTTACAAAAAGAAGAAACACGCACGACGACGACGACAAAGAAGAAGAAGAAGAAGAAGAAGAAGAAGAAGAAGAAGAAGAAGAAGAAGAAGAAGAAGAAAGAGTAGGCTGAGAAGGAGGAGGTAATGTCTGAGAAGACAGCAAGGAGAAAAAGAAACAAATATTGATGAACAGAAGAAGGAAAAAGAAAAAGTGTTTTGGAACTAGAAGAAGAAAGTGAAGAAGACAGAAATATTTGAGAAGATAACAAAAGAAGGAGAAAAAAAGGAAATATGGATGGAAATAAGGAAAAAAGTAAAATGATTTAAAAGGTATATACCTATTTTAGCAATAGAAGAAGAAAGAAAGAAAGAAAGAAAGAAAGAAAGAAAGAAAGAAAGAAAGAAAAGGTTTACATGATAAAAGAAAGAGAAACAGATGGAATATTGATGAAAAGAATGGGAAAAGAAAAGATGAAAGGTATGTATCTGTCGAGTACAAAAAGATGAAGAAGGGAGAGGAGGATGAGAAGAAGAAGAAGAAGAAGAAGAAGAAGAAGAAGAAGAAGAAGAAGAAGAAGGAAAGAAAATATTTGACAAGTAAAGAAGAATAAGGAACGAATTATTATTATTATTATTTATATTATCTATGCTGTTGATACCAGACACACTTCTTCTTTCTGCAACTCGAAGACACGAAACTTATTGGCTGCCGTCAGACCCGGATAGATTGATTTAGGTTTAATAGCAGCACAATAATCTTGTCTGAAAACGTGGAATGTTTATTGTTCTTTTTAGCACAGAATTGAAATGCGCCTTTTCGTGTTTTGAATTTAATAGCTGTTACTTATGTGGTTGTCATCCCTGTAAGCCGATCTTTTACAGTCTATATTTAATCATTCTAATTAGCACACACTTTCAGACCCAATAATATTCGCAGTAGATTTTTCTACCTTTTTCACCAGCCAATCTTCGGATAAAATAAGTTTTGGTTTCAGTTTTTATGTCAAATCTACCATCTCTGTAACTTTCCAATATGCCCATTTTCTTTGTGATTTGCTTAATTCTGGCAACGATTTTACGTAGCTAGTTTTTGCAGCTAGTGTCCTGTTAGTAGAACGTACCCCTTCAATTCTGGGGAAGGTTTTCCTTATGTAGACCTATTACTGAAGGAAATTTTCGTTAACTATAAACTCGACCTGTCTAGTATTGCTTTTATCACGTGTATTATTTTTACATTACAATTTTCTAATATAAGAATAATCAGTTATTGTTTTAAAATATGCTAATTTATAGAATGAAATAAACCTTGTTCGGACGAGCGTAGTTATTTTTGTATGACAACGTATTCATTTTTTAAGACAGCAGGTAACCGAATTTGCTAATACATAATTACTGCTAAAACACACACACACACACACACACACACACACACACACACACACACACACACACACATACATATATATATATATATATATATATATATATATATATAGGCAAATGTTGATTAATTGGAGAGTCGCGTCCAAATACCAGCCGAGTTCATAACATTCACTTACTTGGTAATATTTTGGGGAAAGGTATGGATCTAACTTTTCCCGCGGTTTTTGGTAAATAGCAGTTAAATTGCGCCATATATATTTGGTTGTCAACCGTTCTAATAGAAGGAAAATTCTGAATACAGAGATGATTGGGCTCCGTCAGGCTGTCTTAGCCAAGATACATCACTGCTGCTGAGTGTTACGGGATCCGTGATCATGATCGATCGCGATATATATATATATATATATATATATATATATATATATATATATATATAATGAATGAATTTTCATTAAATAATATAGACAAGTTTTGTCTATTTATTTTAAATAATTTCTTTTCCTCTTGTCTGATAAGCTTAATAACATTATCATGGAAAGACGAACTTGAAATAAATAGACAAAACTTGTCTATATTGTTTAATGAAATATGCATTAATGAATAATTCCTGCCTATATATATATATATATATATATATATATATATATATATATATGTATGTATGTATGTATGTATGTATATAAGGGAAACTCTGAATTTAGAACCTGCGGAGAGTCGTTTGGGGGACCTTGTGTGGTTGGTTCTGCACAAAGCCTTCACCATTATAATCAAATCATATGTGTGGTATCTTGCTGTCGGTTCCTGAGCTGTCTGACCCTCATACGTCGAATATGACGGGAGAGTCCACATATATCTAAGTATTGAACGCGGTGTCCAATCATATCTTCTATTTTATTCTAAACTTCAGGCCTATCGTCGCTAAATGTTGACATCAGTATCCACTTTTATATATACATACGCTCTATCTTTTATATCGAGCAATTTTACCTTTAAATACATAGCATATATTAAAATTTTATGTTTGCTCCGATGCTGAAATTGCAGCCATTTTCGATTTTTTTAAATTTTGCGCTTGCGTATTGTCTTTGATTTTGTCGACTGCATAGTATAGTAGGTTCTGTTGAACACCGTCTGTGAGAAAATGAACACTATGACGCAATTTGCTCCGCCAGAAATTTGGGAACAGCAGGCTGTACTGCTTGGTATTCTCACCGGAAGCTAAAATACGAATATTTCAGAGTGTTTGAGTGCCAATCTGAGGACAGTGCAGAGGATTCGCAAAGAGTTGGATGAGTCGAATTGTGATTACGAAGGTACGGAAGCTGGGAAAAATTATTCTGATCGTTCTGATAAGAAAAGAACTGCCGAATTTCTTGGTGATGGCCTCATACTCAACATGGAGGCTTACATCAAGTGCCTTGAGGAAGTAGCGCTTCTCTGAGTCGAGAGTGGCGGCTGGAAGACTGTCTGGCAAAAGAACACAGCATCGTACCACACAAGCAGGAGAACTCAGTTATGGCTCTCAGACAATTTCTATGACCACATCACTCCTTACATCTGACCACCTAACTCCTCAGACTGCAACCCTCTTGATTATTATATGAGGGACGAGGTTGAGCGAGAGACAAACAAAACTCCTTGTAAGACCAAAAATGAACATAAGGCAAGATTATGGCAGAAATCATCAACTTAAACAAGGAGACTGTCTAAAAGAGTTGCAGGAGATTCCGAAGATTAGAGGCTGTGGTTGAATCCCATTGGCGAATTTATTGAATAAATGTATTTTTTAGTATTTCAAGATATTTTTGTTTTACTTAGAGAAAATATATCTGTTCAAATGGGATGTCAGTGTTATTTTCATTTTTGCGTAATATATATATATATATATATATATATATTGATAAAATAGGGACATCTTATTTTGAAACCTGTAGTCATGCCCAAGGAAATCCGTATAGTTAAGTAAATAACATTGCGCGTTCACCTCTGAAGTAGAGAATATTCTAAATTAAAAAAAAAAAACAAACTATATCGGTGTTAAGGAAAGGACACTATGAAGGACCCTATGTAACGTACGTTTTTCACTTAATTTGGGTGAATTTTGATATTATTATTGCAGATTTTTTAAAGAATTGAGTTTAAATTCTTCATTTAATTTAAAAAAACAAACAAATGTGATCGTACATAAAAATGTTGCCTTAAAAAAGGAACACTTTATTTAAGAAATCCATTTTTAGTAATTTTTTTGTTTTAAGTTAATTTCTCCCTTAATCATCAACAAATAAGAAAGCAACCAGTAATGATGTTAATGCAATAAAATAATAAAAAAAAACTGCATTCGGATCCACAATTATTTCCACTTAATTTATTCCACTAGAATAATTTAAAACATAATCGTTATTGTCCACCTAATAACCGTTAGAATAATACAATAGACCTACACATAATGCATCACTGACTAATATAAATAAATAGCCGAGACAGATCAAAGCACGCGGACTGACATTGCGTTTAAACAAGAAAACAGACTGTCACTGCTGGGTGATCTCAATGTTCACTTTCATATTTACATACGCTCTATCCCTGATATCGATCAGTTTAACCTATAAATATAGCAAAACTTATATCTATAATTTTATCATATATATATATATATATATATATATATATATATATATATATCCTTTCAACACTTCTGATTTCTCGTTTGTATTGAAATATGACATTTTTTCAATATCTGATTGCTTTCATCTGAGACTCTTATCCATTTTAAACACGTCTGTTATATGATAGGTCATCAGTTTCATTTTAAACATCGTTTTGGCGTAGTACCGTGGAAGATCTAATTTTTCTTAATTAAATATGTTTTAATATATTGGGTTCAGTAATATATATATATATATATATATATATATATATATATATATATATATATATATATATATATATATATATGGGTGTATAAAAAGGCCGGCTTAAAACTAGTCCAAACGATCAACTATTTTTGGGATGACCTGCTTGTTTAGACCCCCCCCATCTCGTATAAATAGGCTAAAAAAGATAGACAGTTGTATAGATATAAACAGAATGAAATGATAGTCTATAGATAAAAACAGAACGAAATAGCTGAATATCCGATAACGTCTTTACGTCGAATACGGAGCAATAGCGTATGAAGACTGTGCCATTTCAAATCACAAGTGTAAAGGATCTGAATGCAACCGTGAAAATATGCCTTCAAAATTCTATCAAAACGTCTGAATGACGGCAAATGGCGTCAGCGGTAAATAAGCACAGACACACACTTATATATACGTGCACACATACACACATACAGATCTATACAAACACACACGCCCGAGCAGACATCCCATGATATACACATGTATGCACATACAGTTATTACCTTATTAGTAATGTGACACAGATAGATGGATATATGGATTTAAAATAGGGATTGATATGAACACTCCCGAGGCAGACAGCTATGAACATAGATAGATATGAACACACGTAAATAAATCTTAACAGATAGAAAAGTATTTGCAGAAAATCTGAACAGCTTTGACAGACAGATAGATATGAACAGATTGAGATCGATAGGAACAGACAAGGATAGATAGATAGATAGATAGATAGATAGATAGATAGATAGATAGATATGAATAGACCTGGATAAATAGATGTATATGAATAAACTGCGATATATATATATATATATATATATATATATATATATATATATATATATAGATATAGATAGATAGATAGATAGATAGATAGATAGATAGATGAATAGGAACAGACTAGGATAGATAGATAGATAATGAATAGACTAAGCTAGAGAGATATGAATAGAATGAGATAAATAGATGTATATGCGATATATATAAATATATAGATATGAATAGACTTAGATAGATAGATAGATAGATAGATAGATAGATAGATATGAATTACTTGAGATAGTTAATGAATAGAGGCAAACAGAATGAAAGTTAATTTCTTTTAAATTAGGATGAATATTTAACGATAGAGACATATACATTGCTGAATGGATAGAATTTTTGCCAAGAAGATATGTTTGGGATATGAACTCAGAATTTGCGAACTGGCCGATCCTGCCTGATGCCGGTCGGAAATGTACGCTAGTTTAGAGAAACATCCTCGCGTTTTGTGTTCTTTTTCTACTTTGCATTTCTGAACGGGTTCCTTTCATTTCTATTGTTACAATTGATGGCAGCGCTGTCAACGTAAACGGCAGCAAAGTTTGAGAAGAGCAGCTGTGAACAATGGTGCTCGATCGAAACTTGCACCAGCGGCCATCTTTGTTGTTCCACACCGGAAGTCGCCATTGTTCGTCAAAACACGACAAAGTTAGTCGCATGCTTGTGCTTTATCTTTAAATAAATTGGTGCAACAAAAGGTAACTTTGGCTTTCCACAATGCCGTAAAATAAAGTTTGGATACTTAGAATAATGGGAATTGGTTTTGTTACCCTGTTGTGGCGTTTTCTGTTTGGTAGTCATCACCAACGGGATAACGTCTTTAGTTAAACCTGTTGACCGATGGAATCTGCACTTGACAAAGATCTTTGATTAATATCTATACCTTTGTATCCATCTAACCTTAGTAAATTTCTATAAAACAAAAATATAACTTAAAAATTCGAGTCATGTTATTAAATAGCCTTTCAGATCGTGACTTTCATACGTATGTCATACATTGCGCCGAGCCAGTTAAGAAACGCATACACTATCAGCTGTATACAAATTCTTTTTCGGTTCAATGATTATAAATGACATTGAGTGAATGGAACATGTAGGTTTTACTGAAGACCATTCCTCTTCGAAACACGTAGACTGGCACTAGAAAATCACAATACAAGAATTGTAGCAAGTATCAGAGATCACTTTCAAGAGCACTAACAACTAACATGGATACCACATGTAACAGGAAGAGAGAGTAATGACATAATCAAGATGGTGATTGTTGTAGAGTAGTTTTCACAGTGGAGGCTTGTATTTCAATAAGTCGTCCTAAATTAGGTTCGACGTACAAAACGTTAGGAACTTGAAATAAGAGTTAATGACGCAGCAATCTAGTTGGTACTTCAATGTCCGACATCGACTGACTCATTCAACACCACTGAGCCCAACTGGCGACCGCTACTACTACTACTACTACTTATGCGTGGGAGAGTCTATTAATAATAGAATAGGTACGTCAGGTATAACATTGATGTTCCACATTGCTTCAAATAAAAGCTTAGGAAGGAACACCCCCACATTAATAGATACTGGACTTAAGACACCTATTTTCCTGCAAAATCGTATTAATAGAAACATTTTATAAATTTCAACTGATTGTCGCACTGACTGCTCGGTTAATTAATGTTTCCTTATAAGGAAACGGCTAATATCACCATTACCATTATCAATGGTGTTAAGATGTGACATTTTGTTGGTTGTATTTGGGGATCTTATCCACTTACATATGGGCCAACGAAAATATTTTTCACTGCCAGAATTGGAACAGATACTAAACTACGGAGATTATTTTTACGTACATCCCACTAATCGGAAACAGAAAATCTGATTGATATATCAATAATGTCGTCAGTTTTTATGGATAATACGACAGATTGATGGCAGAATCACAAAGGATAATAGGAATTCTAAAATAATTCATTAGGTTGTTCGGAAAATAATATCCGTTTTTATAATAAACATTTATTTGTGTTCTAATATATTATTCTGAAAGTCGCCAAAATATATATTACTCATTCGTAATGATTAAAGTGTCCTCTTTGTTAACTTCAGAAAAATCTCTTCCCTAATTTAATTAAAACATTATATAACCCTAATCTTAAAGATGAAAAAATTAAAAAAAAAATGTGTTTATATTTTTGCGTGAGTTCAAGATTGGACATAATGCTTCTGAAAGTGCTGGCAACATTAATATGAATAAAAGTTGATTCTTAAATCGGACATTATTTTTCGAACAACCTAATAGTTATTTAAAACAAAGAGAAAAGGACTATTAAACGTGAGAAGACAGAATGACTAATGAGCAGCTGAAAAGATAGCGCAGGTGTGTTACAATCAAGTAGTTACAGAGGTCCAAGTCTCTGGATAAAGTCGTAACAGAGGAAAATAAAATGGCATACAGGAATCCGAAAGGGCATAAGAGTATCAAAAGATATAATTAAGCAATAGAAAGGTAACGTTAGATATGCAGTGTGTTGAACTGCTATGTAATATCTAATCTCCAATCTGTGATCGCTGCAGAATCTTTCGAAAATGAAGAAGATACTTGAAGCGACATAGATGTGATTCTATCGACGAATGTTAAAAATAGCATAGACAGTACATGTGAGCGTCGACGAATTTCTGAGAAAAAAAATGGACGTCAAAGAGACTTATACTTAGTATCAAAAAGAGACAGTCGGAATTTCGGCGATACATAATGAAAACATAGAGCATAGAAGGTTTAACATTCACAGGACATAGTGAAGGCAAAAAGAAGCGTAAAATGGATGGTTGATTTTGTTTTAGCTGCAAATCTATTGGTTATTTAATACCAAAATCTAAATATTTTGGACACAGTTTTATGCCTTCAACTAAATATATTTTGAACGCAATTTTATTCCTTCAAGTAAATATATTTGGGACGCAATTGTATTTCGTCTACTACAGATAATACATTTGTATTTCGTCTACTACAGGTAATACATTTTTTGTTATAAAATGTATTGGTATTTCTACGATAAAAAGTATTGCTGGTGATTTTGCTTTAAAATATATTATTGTCAAATTTTACTATTATTATGAATTGTTGGTAATTTTACTATAAATATATATTGTTGGTAATTCTTTTAAATAAAAATGTAATTTTCTTATAAAAATGAATTTTTATACTTTCATAATTTTTTGGGAGGGTTTACTATTTGCCCATGGCTGGGAGCCTAACGGATGATACCTCCCGGGTCAGGATGGACCTGAGAACAACAGCATTTAAAACGTGTTTCTACGTTCCTCAAAACCTCCAATGTCTTCTTCAGAGGCCTTGCTGTCAGATATTGTTTATTACAATACACAGGACAGAAGTAAAATGCGATAAACCTACTTAATGTGATTGTATAAATCGATGGTAGAAAAAAGGCATGGTTGGTTAAAGGTCACGGATTACATAAAAAAAAACACATAACGGGAAGCTGTGGAGAGCCTTGACCGTCCGCGCTCTGGTAGAACTTTGCAAGTAATAGAAGAAGAATGCTAAATGGTAAATTATTGTGTATTTCATTAGTATTCTAATTTCTTGTTCAGAATTTCTTGGTAATATTGACCATAACTACTTTAAAGATTCTTGTATGTGATGTCTCGGCACTATTATGATATTCAGACTATGCTGAATGGTCCGCAATCGGGAATATGGAGAGGCTGTATATATTACAATGTTATCGACCATAAACACTCAATCACACGGTGAAGCGAAGCGGTAATTGGGTTATTCGAATTATTGGCGAGTATCGATCAGAAACGAAAATAGCGCTTTCGGGAATGAAATATCGACTAAGTCACGAGGAGGGCCATAATAGATATGTAACGGATACAGATGTGCAGATGACGAATATATCTAGATATATATATATATATATATATATATATATATATATATATATATATATATATATATATATATGTACACTGACGGGCCAAAAGTCATGGGATAGTAGTATGTACAGTTAATGGTAGTTGGCACCTTCGGGACACGATCTATATCAGTTATGCTGTGAAATTTGCTGAATCAGGGGAAACGCCGTCTTGGCTGCTCTAATAAGTTCGAACAGAGAATGATAAGTGACGTAATTTAATGTCTAATAAACAAAAGTGAATAAATGATGTTGCTGAATTGTTCATGCAGTTAATATTTAAATCATTTTATAATGGGATGAATTTATGCATTATATAGATTTTTAAATTGTTATAAATTTAACAGTTTCTTTTAATTTTTGAACATTTTTAGCCATGTTGGTTGGAAGGGAAACATAGTAATTCTTTCATGAATGGAGGCATTTGAAAAAAGTCCGGGGTATAGGTTTATATTTTGATAAGATTCGATAGTGGCACTGTGAAGAATTTCACGTCTAAATAAGATGCATTAACTTTTAATAAGTATCTATTAATACAAAAATCATCTCATTCACAACAATTTATTAAATGCATGAGTTATACATGGAAATAAAATCAACTACAACTTTGATCTCTCTCTCTCTCTCTCTCTCTCTCTCACACACACACACACACACACATATATATATATATATATTATTTTCTATTATAATTATAATGTTATAATATTATTATTAAATGTTTTTATAGAGCACTGTTTTTTTAAAGTAAAAATTATTACAAAGAACAACGGATATATATATATATATATATATATATATATATATATATATATATATATATATATATATATATATACAATACCAATAATTATACTCAGTTGGTAAAAAAAAAAAAACTCGGATGGCACAAATTGATATCCGAGGAAAAATTTGAAAAAAAAAAGAATGAACTCAAAACCCCGAACAGGGCGAAAAAAATCGTCTAGTGCCTTAAATTTCCAGTCACCGCTATATATATATATATATATATATATATATATATATATATATATATAAACAGGCGAGTAACTAAGATAAAACGTAGAGTGCTCAGTAGGCTAAGTAGAGCAAAGCAGAGCTTATCCTGAAGATCCATTTAGGTAGGTAATTCCTGGCTCTTTAAGATTATATATATATATATATATATATATATATATATATATATATATATATATATATATATTAAGGTATGTTATATTTATGGGTCAAAGTGTTCCATACCAAAGATGCATGCTGTTGACCCCATTGTGCATATGTTTGCGTTAAAGGTGCATGAATCAATTTTTTCATGGATAAGGAAATTATGCTCTAAATAGCAGTCTTCGAATACGCTGCTTAGCATTGGTTGGTTACCGGTCTACAAGTAGAACTATTTTAAATTTCCAATAGTTGAGAAGCAAACGAAATGAAGTGTCACTGAAATCCGAAGGCGCTTTAGGATAGTGAAATATGTCTCATCTTTGTTGCCATATATTTTTTCGTCGGTAATTCTATTGAAGAAGGGGAGATATCAGACTTTTTGTTCTATGCAGTCCCAAAAATTCATATACTGATCTCCTCAATGACACATAACCCAATAGATAAAAGTGTTGGTTGTATCCAGTGACTCAAGTTAAAGGGAAACTGCTAAATTCGCATTTAAATATAATATTGCTGATAGAATGGGTACAACTCACTTAA